GGGGTGGGTCGCGGGTGGGTCGCGGGTGGGTCGCGGGGTGGGTCGCGGGTGGGTCGCGGGTGGGTCGCGGGGTGGGTCGCGAGCCAGGTCGCGGGGGGGACGACGCCAAACAAGAAACAGCAAACAAACAAACACAACCAACAGCAACAGCAGCAGCAGCAATAAAACCACCACCACCACCAACAACAACAATGATTTTAAGGCTGGTCGCTCGTATCTGCTCGAGTGTCCGTTAACGCGTATTTGCCAAACACTCGATCCCCGCCCTCTTCGTCGTCGATCGTGCCCCTTTGGGGGGGTATACTTTTCTTCCCTGCAGGCTGGGCCCCTGCAAGCGGCGGGGCGGCCGCGGACCGTCGGCCTGGCCAGCGGCAGCGCTGATCGGCGGCAACCCGACCCCAAGAGGGACGGACAGGGGACCGACCACGACGACGACGACGACGGCGACGACGGCGACGACGGCGGCGACGACGGCGACGACGACGACGACGACGACGACGACGAGCGAAAGCGAGAGCGAGAGAGAACGACAGCAGGGCCACGAAGGGCACGAAGTAGGCCACGAAGGGCGACAGCGGGGACACGAAGGGCATGCGTATGGGGCCACGAAGATCGCGAACGAGCGGGGGCCACGAGGGGCAGAGAATGCGGGGCCACAGAAGGCAACGACGGGGCCACTGAGGGTAGCAACTGGGCCACTTAGGACAACGAGGGGGCCACAAAGGGTGACAGCGGGGCCACGAAGGGCATGCACATAGAGCCACGACGGGCGCGAACGAGCGGGGGCCACGAGTGGCATACGTATATCAGGCCGTGGAGGGCAAGGACGGGGCCACTGAGGGTAGCAACGGGGCCACGAAGGGCAGCGAGGGGCCACGAAGGGGTGCACCAGGGCCGCGAAGGGCATGCATATGGGGCCATGACAGGCGCGAACGAGCGGAAGCCACGAATCGCATGCGTATATGCGGCCACGAAGGGCACCGAGGGGGCCACGAAGGGCTGCAACGGGTCCACGAAGGGCAGCGAGGGGGCCACGAAGGGCTGCAACGGGGCCACGAAGGGCAGCGAGGGGGGCCACGAGGGGCTGGAACGGGGCCACGAAGGGCAGCGAGGGGGCCACGAAGGGCTGCAACGGGGCCACGAAGGGCAGCGAGGGGGCCACGAAGGGCTGCAACGGGGCCACGAAGGGCAGCGATGGGGGCCACGAAGGACTTCAACGGGGCCACGAAGGGCAGCGAGGGGGCCACGAAGAGCTGCAACGGGTCCACCAAGGGCAGCGAGGGGGCCACGAAGGGCTGCAACGGAGCCACGACGGGCAGCGAGGGGGCCACGAAGGGTTGCAACGGGGCCACGAAGGGCGGCGAGGGGGCCACGAAGAGCTACAACGGCGCCACGAAGGGCAGCGAGACCCAGATTCCTCAGTAGTCTGTGAATGAGTAAATTGCAGGGAAGTCCTACGCAAGGGCGCTATTCTTGCGTAAATTGCAAGCAAATCTCCAGCGAGAGCGCGATTTCAGAGCGCCGGGAGAGCGATGCCTGTATAAAATTGTAAATAAGTCCCGAGGGAGGGAGAGCGCGATTCCTGAACAAATTGCGAGGAAGTCTCAGGCGGGAGCGGGGGCCCTGGCTAAATTATGAAGACATCTCGTGCGGGAGTCGTTGTTGTTGTAATCCGGGGGCCAGGGGCCCAGTTTGAGGAGGAAGACTTCCCTGATACAAGAAAACATTGCGCGAGCGCCGGGAGGGGCACTTCAATTGTAACAAGACAATGTGCACTGGAAGGGGGGTGAACAATAACTATTTTCAGTAGTGAGAATTCAGCCAGAATCCGCATCGCGGAATCCTACTTCACCCACCCCACTCAAAGGGCATCCCAGAAAAATGCCACGCCCCAGGGGAAAGCAGAAATCACGACAACCATTGAACGAAACACGAACCATAATATCGGAGTAGAATGTCCGAAGAGCACGAAGAATTCAAACAAGTAGCCGCATGGCTTCCAGGCGCCGAAATATCCGGGATCAAATGGCCGACGGGAACGCAGCTTTACACCAAACAACGGAACCCAGAGCTTCTCTCCCCACACATCGTGCCATGCTCCAGTAAAGCTGACCCTAGGTCCAAAACAATACCAATAATCTTGCGGCCAGGAAGAATGCCTCGCTGGCAGGGGGCAACGGTGCGAACTGCAACGCGCGCCGGCGGAGGAGCGACGCCAGTGGCATTAATATTGTGGCACGAATTCAAAATCGAGATAGGACGAGTGTCCGCGGGTGCTCGAACAAAAACGCCATCCTTCCAGTCACCCTCCTCATCTCCCTTGGATAAGAACGCGGCGATGCACTCACTAAGCTCGGCAGGGAGGTCACCGTGAGAGAACAGGCGACAGTAAGTCTCGTACAACCACTCTTTCTCCACCTCCCCCACCTTCCAGACTGCATGGGATCCCATCTCCCCCTGGGGCAGAGTCACGCAGCATGCCAATGCGCGCCGAGATTTTATCTTCACAGAGCTGCCACACTATTAGCTGAGGAGGCTCTTGGACAAAGCCGTCGAAAACGATACAGGCAGCTGCGGATGCTTCAATCCATTGCGAAATCCCCTCCAGTGTTCAGCAAGATGCTTGGCTCACGTAGCAGGCTCAAATAATCGGCGATGCTGCTCATACAAGACATCCGCAAACGGCGCAACTCTGCGAACGCGAGCCCGAGCCTGGTGCAAAAGTCGAGGCGCTTGATCTGGGTATATTTGGTGGACTGCGGGAGGCGGCTGCATAGGACCTCCAGCTCCTCCTCCAAACTCTCCAGGGTAAGTTTTGGCAGGCGCCCATGGGACCCTTTAAGATCGAGCCAGACCCCTCCCACATTCACATAGTGCCCCAAGACAAGGTAGGCACGAACAGCACGCTTAATGATGGCAAGCCGGTGCTCACGAAGAGTACGGAGCACGGAGCACATCCAGCAGATTTTAGTTTCCAGAGGCCGTGCTCCTTTGAACTCCCTTCTCCTCCGCGCCCGCATTCCAGCTTCATGAAGAACATGTTCGTCTTGTGCAAGCCTCTCCCCAATATCCATATCCCCCTCCAGCTCCACCTCCAGCAAAATAGCCTTCAACTCCTCCTTAAATTCAAGCGTGCGCGACAGCCAAGCAGGGGCACTGTAAGAGCGAGCAAGAAACAGAGGTGCATGATCACTACACCACTGTGATTCCCCATATCCAATCACCCCAGTCATCGGCTGAAAACCTTCGAGATCAGCACGAAAACAAATAACGCACATCCGATCTGGACGAACCATTGACACGATATGCCCACCCGCCTCCTCCTTGCGTGTAGATCTTGTTCAATTTCACAAACATAGGGGAACAGCTGGTCAACAACTCAGCAAGTTTGTCGGAGTTCGCATGAACGGTCCCATCACGATGCTGTCGCGCCTCGGCTGCGGCGTAAAAGTGGACGTCGCCAACGAAGGCAACGAGGTGTTCGCAAGGACCAAGAAGATAAGAACGAACTTGGCGAAAAAGACCACGTTTCTCAGGCCGGCTGAGAAAGGGAACGACATGCATGGTGCAGACTTGCAGAACTACTTCGGGGCCCCGACAAAAAAAAACGGTACAACGAACAGTGCTGATCAGCTCGGCAAAGGCAGGTGATAGCGCGGTCAAAATGCCACCAGCCCGCGCTTCTGCTCAGTAACACCAGAAGAACTGGTATCCAGAGAAGTCGCGTTCCACCGTGGCTGGGTCCCCATGCGAGCCATGCACTTCTTGACAGCTGGTAACTCCGTGCGAGTTCAAAAGGCGGCGAAATTTGGAGTACTTTCTCTCTTGGGCAAATTTGCTTCCCATGAGCACTGCCGAAAAAAAACCTTCGTACTCCAAGTACATGTTCGAAATCTCTGCCGAGGGTGAACAACCTGCTGACATGCATCTTCTGAAATGTACTCGAAGTCCCCGTCCTACGGGAACGTGAGGTTGTGGATCATCTGTTTGGCCAGGTCACTCAGGAGAAGGAGAAGCAGGAGGAGAAGGAGAAGAAGCAGGAGCGGGAACCCTTGTCGAGCCGCCAATGCTGCATAGGCTGCCAGTCCTCGAGGAATCCGGGCTGCGCAGTCGCATCACATATGCATATGTAATATATATATATATATATGTATATATATATTATATGTATATATATATTATATGCACAGACATAGATATACATATATATATATACATAAATTCTTACATATGTGTGTATGTGCGCGCTCCCCTTCCAAGTGCCAGTGGTCTGCCTCGAACCCCGCGGCCTGCCCAAAGGCAGGTTGCGCAGGGCTGCGCTGGACGTCCACTGGCGCTGCGCCCTTCCTCTGCCGCACCGCCTGGCGGCGGGGCTGGTTCGTCAACAGCGCAGATCCCCCTCCTAGTCCTCATGCCTCGCCCCTGGCCTGCACGTGGCACACGTGCCCCGCTGGGGGCAGACAGCCTGAGGAGGAGGAGGAGCAGGAGGAGGAAGAGGAGGAGGAGGAGGAGGAGGAGGAGGAGGAGGAGGAGGAGTAGGCGACATGTCGGCTGGCACCTCTCAGGCGATCGCAACCCAAAGAGAAACGGGCTTAACGCACGATGGCACAGCAGCCTTACGCAGCGGCTCCGGGCGGCCCGGCAGCATGGAAAACGCCGCCCGGAGAGGAGGGCGCCCACGCGCGACCGGACGCGGGAAGCTTTTTCACCGTGGCCCGGCCTGTCTTGCCCGAGAGAGGTCACGATCCAGGAGCCCTACCCGGGCAACATGACTGCACCCCATCTCGGGAGCGGCCAAGAGGGGGGTGTCCAAGAGGGGGGGGTGCAAATCATGATCGCCGGCATGTGCGCGGCCCAGCGGGGGGGCCAGGGACGTAATGGAATGAGAAGAGGCGCCATGAGATCTGGGTAAATATCATGGCCCCCGCCATGATCTCCCCCCCCCCCCTAGTCATCACCCCCCTCTTTGCCGCCCCCGACCATCACCCTGCGCGCAGATCCTTCTTATACGCGTCGAGGTAGTTCTTGGCGTCCATCACGGCTACGGGGTTCGCGTTGGGGCTGTTGAGGGTCACGTTGGGATCATTGAACAGCTCGTCGTGCCGCTGTCAGCAATATATTACATAAAGAGGTCCGGGACAGAAAGAAGGAGGGCTGCGGCGCATCCACCAGAAACTCTTATTACGCATTCGACACCAGATGCCGGCCCGGAGGAACATATAGACAAGACCTACTCTGGGAGAGTGCTGTACCCATCATCCTGTCGCGTCTCCTCTCCTTGCTCGGGAAGCTGGTGAAAGAAGCCAGCTCCAGACTGCATACAAGGGCCTCTACTGCTCTGACGCTCCAATGAGAACAAGTGGCATGTCTCCACGAGCTTCAACAACATTCGGGGCCCAATCAGCCGCAAACGCGAAAACAATTGCCCGCTCCGTCCCTGACCGCCCCCCCTCGGTTGCGCCCGTTTTGGGAGCCCACAAAAGACGTACGCGACCATCCACGTACATGAACACGGCCCCCCAGTCCGCGAGTACAGCGTCGTGATGCGAACGCTCGCGCAGCGCGCACTCTCGAAACAGACGTGGATTCATGTACGTGAGCGTCCTTCTTTCGCTCCTGACGTTCGGGCCCTCTCCTCGAGGCATGCAGCAGCCCAGTTCCTACGCATCCATCGGGGTAAGAGCTGGCGGTCGGCCAGGGAGGGGAGCACGAGAGGCCAGCACTGGGACTGCCGACCCACACACACACACACACTTTTCCGTCGGCGGGGAGGTAGAGTTGGCTGCACCAGCGACCGAGCTAGACGGGGGCGCCGAAAAGCGATTGGCCAGCGTGTCACACACACACACACACCACACACATACACGCACACGCACACACACACACCACACTCACACACACACACACACTCACACACAAACACACACACACACACGCACCACACACCACACTCACACACACACACACACACACACCACACACACACAACACACACACACGCACGCACGCACGCACGCACGCACGCAAGCACGCACGTAGTTACGCACGCACGCACGCACGCACGCACGCACGCACGCACGCACGCACGCACGCACGCACGCACGCACGTAGTTACGCACGCACGCACGCACGCACGCACGCACGCACGTAGTTACGCACGCACGTAGTTACGCACGCACGCACGCACGCACGCACGCACGCACGCACCACACACACCAGGGACGGGGCACCCCGGGGCTGGCCGATGGGCGGCACCTGGCCCCCTGCGCGGGCCCAGGGCGGGGCCGCAGCCCTGGCAGACCTGGGCCGGGCCTCGCGAGGTCGGATCGGCCTCGCGAGGCCTATCGCATCGCCAGCGCATCGCCCCGAGCGGCCCCCCGCCGGCGGAGCGGATCGCGTCGAGCCGGGTCGTGGGCGGCCCTGCGAGCCTGGTGGGTGGACGGGGGGCACTCCCGGGGCGCGTGCCTGGCGCGGCGCTACGTCTGTGCACGTGCTCGCTCCGTGGCGCTGGCTTGGCCCCCGTAGCCCAGAGGCGAGCGTGTCTGGTGACGGGCCCCAGGTATGTTTGCAGGACGAGGGGGTTTAGGGGGGGGGAGGGGGAGGGGAAAGAGAGGAAGGGAAAAAGAGAAATAAGAGAGGACCAGGGAGGAGTGGGGAGGCGTGGGGAAACCAAAAGGTACCGATATCGCCACTCCCCAGACCTCTCCAGGGGTGCCTTCGCGAATCCAGCGGTGGCGACGAGGGCCTCCCAGAGGCCCCAAAAGGGGAAAACAAGGGAAGGGTAGCGGTATGGGCACACTTTTCTCCTCTGAGGATGCGGGAGGAGGGGAAGGAGGGAGCAGGGCGCAGAGGGGCAAAAGGCGGAGCGATGGGGAGGCGGGAGACGATCGCCAGGGAGCGGGGGGACGATGCAGGAGGGACGAGGGAGGATGAGAGCGGAGGGACCAGGGACGAGGAAGGACGAGCGATGAGAGAGGAGGGATGCTGGACGAGGGAGAATGCGGGGAAAGCAAGCGACCCACAACCAGATCGAGGACACACCCTGGAGGATGTCTTCCGCATGCCCAGAATTGTCGGAACAAAGAAACCAGCTTTGTACTGGTTGTAGTCAACGTGGCGTCCCAGGACGGCCAAATCGACCACAACCACAACCAAAGTGCTTATGTCGAGGTCAGCGGGTTCCCCCCCGAGGGGCCATCCCGACAAATCCACTTAGTTGTAGTTGCGGGTCCTTGCTGTGCCCTGAGAGAAGGGACGACAGACGACCACCGAAGGATGATAGATGAGTAGGGACGGGGGAAGAGGGAGAATGGACGAGAGAACAAACAGGGGACTGAGGAACAAGGGCGGTGGAAGGTGGATGGAGAGCCCACGAGTCACGCACCCACAAAGGGAGGCGGGCTCCCTCGCACAGGCAGTCTGTGAGATGTTGAGGATCAGATTCGTGGTCTGATCGATCGACGCCGTGTCGAGCCAGAGACCGATAGTGCTGATAGACACCTCATCCACTTGTCAAATTGTCAAGACTCGCATCCTATCCTCCTGCTCCTCCAGCTCCCCCTCCTCGTAATCACCAACCGTATCCGCCCCTTCCTCATCCTGGCTTCCATGTTCTCCATCACCATCATAAGATGTATCATCTTCCTGCTCCTCCTCACCATTATCATCAACGGCATCACGATTTCTCCTCCTCTTGAGAATCCCTCCTTCAGTCGTGTCTTATCCTTCCTCCTTATCATCGCCATCACTACCTTCACAATCCTCACCAGCATCGTCCACAACATCATCACTACTCGCATCATCATCACCATCACCATCCGCAACATCACCATCCGCACCAGCATCATCAAGCACCGACGACACCATTACCAACATCATCATCATCAGCAACAGCATCATCATCAGCAACAGCATCATCATCATAACCATCAGCGTCATCTTCATCAGCATCATCACCATTGCCAGTATCGTTGCTATTCTCATTATCAGCACGATCCTCGCCGACATCATCATCCACATCATCATCATCATCATCATCATCCTCATCATCATCATCATCATCATCATCAACATCATCGTCATCATCATCAGCATCATCATCAACATCTTCATGATCAACTTCATCACCATAATCACCACCGCCACCTTCATCAGAACCGCCAACATCATTAGCATCATCGTCAGCATCACCTAGATCAGCAGCTGCATCATCCGCAGCATCATGACCAACCTCATCATCATCATAATCACCAACATCATCCGCAGCATCAGCATCATCATAATGATCATCATCATCATCATTATCATCATCACCACCATCAGCAGCATCAGCATCCGTGGTCGTCATCGTCACCATCAGCATAACAATCAGCAGCATCATAATCCTTGTCCTCCCCCCTTTCTGCTCTCAACATCATCCCTTTCTCCCTTCGCATCTGGTACCTTTTATGGACGCTTATGGTGAAGAACTGTGCGCCTCAGTCAACTTAGGCCACCTTTCTGCCAGAATCTGGAGCTGGCGATGGACCTGCATTGCGCACACAACCTTTGTGCACGCCCAGGGGTGCCCATGGGTGCCCATGCATTGGCCCAGCTTCACAGGAACTGAAAGAGAAATCCAGAACGAGAAGCAGAACCTTCTTAATCATCTGCGGCGCAGACATTGTACTGGGATTCTGAAGGGAGGAAACACCAAGCCTTCGCTCAGAGCAACAACTGCTTCGCAACCATGTATTTTGACGCCCCAGTCAGGAAGGAGAAAAAGGAGGAGGCGTGAGGAGTAAGCAGGGAGGAGAAAGAATCGGGAGGGGGGAACCTCCTCCTCCTCGTCCTCCTTCTGATCCTCCTCCTCCTCCTCCTCCTCCTCATCCTCCTCCTCCTAGAACTAGAACTCGAAAAAGCAGGTCATGCAATTACGTCAACGAGTCTTCGGCTTGCGGCCAGTCCACACTTTAGTCGGGCGCCTGGGACAAAGCCTTTTCAGAGCTTCATCAGCTCCGCTGCCCTTGCTGAAACCGACGAACCAAACGCAATAAGCAATCAGCAGTGTGCTACCTCCAGCTCATCCAATGACTGATGCGTGGCGGCCAGAGGCCACAAGAAACTTCTACACGTCAACATGAAAGTCTGCTCATCATTGCCTAGCTGCGAGAAGAAGCTGACGTTCCTTTGCCATTTGAGGTATTTTTGACGTGTGCCCTGACACCCGGCTATTTGAGAACACGGCGTGAAGCATCAAATGGATATTCGGTGGAAGGCCACTTTGCGAGCACTTCGGCCGCACGTTCCAACATGTGTTGGCAGGCGTGAAGGCTGTTCAACTCCTGGTCGTATTGATCCCAGGGCAGACTGTGACGCTGCGTAGCTTCACTAAAGACAAATTCGTTCCAGATCGTGTGTGGCCTCATCTCGGGACATGTGAGCTCTATGATGAGCCTGGACTGAAATTTGCAAAGTACGATGCATCATGCCACACGATATCCCACTCAATGCACAGATGCGCATCTGCTCAACAATGCCTTGCCAGAAATGGAGACTTCGGAACCCTCCTTCCGCCCCTCCCTCTCTCTGTCTGCCTCGTCCTCTTCGAACATCCGCCACCGTGTCTCTGGGCACGGAGGGGGCGTGTCCTCAGGTCCTTTGCCTCATCCCCGAAACCTCAGCCCTCACCCCCGAAGAGTCTTCAAGGTGCCCGGAGCCACAGTTGCCAAAATCTCCCGGGGCTTGCAGCGGCTCCTCCGCACCTCCCCGCGTGACCTGTTCGGGCCCAAGAGTGCCCCCAGACGGACCAAGAGGGCCTCAATAGGTCCTCATGACAGTCGAAGAGGACCCCGAGACGCCCGATCACGCCACGGCGCCCAAGATGGCCGTTTGACGGCCGAAGAAGCCTACAAGACGCCCCAAGAGGCTTCCAAGAGGCCTCCAAAAGGGCCCCAAGAGGTCAAAATCAGTAATTTCCGATTGGTTGGGGAATAATGTTGGCGTTCTCGCCTTTTCGGCTTCCCTGCGCTCCAAGCCTGCCCAGGAGGCCCCTACTTTCACCCCAAGACAGCCCCAGAGGCCTCCAAGAGGACCCCAAGATGGCCCAAGAGGGCTCCAAGACGGCCCAAAAGGATTCCAAGACGGCCCAGGAGGCCCCCAAGACAGCTCCACGAAAGGGCCCAGACGGGGGACCCGAACTGACATTTCGAGCCCTTGGCCCCAAGAGGCCCTCAGGAGGCCCAAGAGGCCCCCAAGAGGCCCCAAAGAGACCCCAAGAAGCCCCCTGGGGAGCCTCTTGGGGACCCGGCTGCCTGTCTCGTCGGCTTTCTCGCTTCAGATGGCGTCAAGATGGCCTCCACGGTGGTCAAGATGCCTCTGGGCCAAGACGGCCCAAGAGGCCACCAAGGGGCCTCCACGACAGCCCAAGAGGCCTCCAAGAGATCCTCCAGGAGGGCCCGAAAAGGCCAAAATCGCTGATCTGTCTTAGGTTTTGAAGGATTTGGGCGTTTGCTTCTTTTCGGTCTTCCGACGGCCCGAGACGGCCCAAGAGCCCCCCGAGATCGCTCCCAGAGCCCCCCAGAGGCCTCCAAGATGGGCCCAGAACGGCCCAAGAGGCCCCCAAGACTGCCCCAAGAGGGCCCCAAGACGGCCCAAGAGGCCTCCAAGACGCCCAGGATGGCCTCCAAGACGGCCCTGGAGCACCCCAAGAAGGCCCCAAGTCGGTTCAGAGCGCCCTCAAGACGGCTTCCGACGGCGTCAGACGGGCCAGGAACGCCCCAAGACGGCCAAAGAGGCCCCCAAGAAGCCCCCAGAGGCCCCCAAGAGGCAAGGAGAGCTCCCAGATGCCTCCAAGAGGCCCCCACAAAGCTACCAGGAGGTCCCACAAGTGCTCCCAAAGGCTCACAAGATGCCCCCTCCTCCTCCTCCTCCTCCTCCTCCTCCTCCTCCTCCTCCTCCTCCTCCTCCTCCTCCTCCTCCTCCTCCTCCTCCTCCTCCTCCTCCTCCTCCTCCTCCTCCTCCTCCTCCTCCTCCTCCTCCTCCTGATCTTCCCCGCCATCCTCCCCCAAGTGCTCCCCGAAGGGTTTCCACAACGGCTGGGGGAACTGGGGGAACGCATGGTCCGATAGCTTGGCAGAGCTCTGGCCACAATTTTAGGCCACATGGGCGATTCCAGCAGGCAGGGGGCGGAGGTGATTCGACGTGAGCGTCTTCGATACATGTTGAATGTTGTGCTCCGAATTGGGCCAGTTGAGCCTTCGGGACCTCCAGGAACATCCAGACAACGGTCCTCCTCTTCCTCGTCCTGCCCGTCTACCAAAGCCACCCTCCTCCTCCCACATTACATGCATCGTTCCAAAGTCTCCTCTTCCTCTTCCTGCTCCTCATCCTTCTCCTTTTGACAATCCTTCTTCTCCTCCTTTTTCAATTCCTCCCCCTTTTGCCGCCTCATCATCCTCCTCCTCGTCGGCATTATCCTCCGCATCCTTCTTCTCATACTCATCCTTCCCATCCTCCTCAACATCATTATTCTACTCCTCCTTCTCCTCTTCTTCCTCCTCCTCCTCGTCATCATCATCAATATCACTTCCCTTCCCCATGCCCCATGCCTTCTGACTCCATCTCCTCCTCCTCCTCCTCCTGCTCCTTCTCCGTCTTCTCCTCCTCCTCCTCCTCCACTGCCGGTCTCATCAAACTTGTTCGTCGTCATACGCCTATGTCTCCTCCTCCTTCTTCTCACCCTTCGCCTCCTCCTCCTCCTCGTCCTCCTCCTAATTCTCCGGGTCACCATCATCCTCAACATCATCAGTATCATCATCAGTATCATCATCAGCATCATCAGCATCACCGTCATCAGTACCAGTATCATCATCATCATCATCATCATCATCATCATCATCATCATCATCATCATCATCATCATCATCATCATCATCATCATCATCACCATCACCATCACCATCATCATCAGCATCATCATCATCATTATCACCATCATCAGATTCATCACCATCATCAGCAACAGCATCATCACCATCATCAGCAGCAGCAGCATCAGCATCAGCAGCAACATCATCAGCAGCAGTAGCAACAGCAGCTGCAGCAGTATCATCATCAGCGTCACCATAATCAACATCTCAGCAGCAGCAGCAACATCGTCATCGCCATCATTAACATCATCATCTTCATCATCATCCTCATCATTCCCCTCCTCCTCCTCCTCATCATCATCATCATCACCGTCATCGTCATCGTCATCAGTATCATCAGTCTCATGAGCATCATCATCCTCATGTTCATAATCATCAGCATCAACATCGTCATCGGTATCGCCAGCATGGTCATCATCATCAACATCATCACCGTAATCGGCATCAGCATACTCCTCTTTATCATCATAGTAATCATCATCATCACCATCATCGTCATCGTCATCATCATCATCGTCATCTGTATCATCATCACCATCGTCATCATCTACGGCAGCATCATCATCATCAACATCATCATCGTCGTCATCATCATCATTACCATCATCAGCAGCATCATTGTCGTCATCCTTTGTAGTGTCCTCACCCTTGTCCTTCTCACCCGACTCCTCATCTTCATCCTCACACTCATTATAATCATCACCATCATCATCATCATCATCAGCAGCAGCAGCATCAGTATCAGTATCAGCATCAGCACCATCATCGTTATCATAAGCATCAGCATCATCAACATCATCATCATCATCAGCATCATAAGCTTCAACACCATCGGAATCATCATCATAATCATCATTAGCATTAGCATCATCATCAGCAGCAGCATCGACTTCATCCTTACCAGCAGCAGCATCATCATCATCATCATCATCATCATCATCATCATCATCATCATCATCATCATCACCTGTGTTATGATCCTTATCATCGCCCTCCTCACTCCCTCCCTTCCTTTCTGCCTCCCTTCCTATTTCCCGGGCACCTCACAAACTGGGAGCCAAGAGCAAAGCCAGAGAGTAAGAGCGATGACGACAGTAGCAGTGAGAGCGTTACTGGGAAGATGATAGGTGAAGATGGAGCATGCGCGTTACCGTCAAGCGCCCAAGGACCCCTTGGAACGGTAAAAGCACGAGGTGCTTCTCTCTGGCGGAGCATCCCGCAGATGCGCCGCGATCTCCCTTCCCGAGCCGAGGTGAACATCTGACGTGTTCGTGCGTCTGCTCCCCTCTTTCCTGCCCGAACTGGGCGTCCTGCGCTTAGAGTTGCTCGACGCGTGGGCGCAATCAGCCATCATCGAATCAAGGAATCGGATCACCTCGGAACGTGCGCTGGATCGGGCCGCATCGGCACGGAAACGGAGTCGCAGCGGATCGGCGACGCGGGGATGCCCAACAGCGCCGGGAAAGCAGTCGGCAACATCGGATCGCGGGACACAGCCCCGAATGGGCACGGGCAAGCCGGAACCCATGTCGAGTAGCTGCCGATCGAATCGCCATGGACCGCGCTGGGCCCCCGGGCCTCTCGGCCCGCCCCCCCGTGGGAAGGAGGCCAAACACGGCGGCAGACCGGCCGCCCCGAGGGTCTCGAAACAGCGGGTGCCTGGGAAACCCGTGCTGGCCAGGACCACTCTCCCTGTCGCGCTGCTGGCCTCCTTCGGGTCGGGCAAAGGGGGGGGATAACAAAGGGGGGGGGTGAAAATCAGCTCACGCAGCTGATTTTCCCGGAGGCGAAGGCGGCTATGTATCGAGGAACGGGCCCCTCGGTGGGGCCGAAACCAGCTGCATGCTGCAAATTTCGTACCCCCCCCTTTCCCAATCCCCCCCTTTCGTCCAGCCCGACTGCCCCGCGCAGCCCCCCCCCTCTGGTGTCGCCGCGCACCGACGCCATCACGGAGTCGCGGACGATCTGTGGGGGCAGGCACGGGGCCGGGGGCGCTCGGCGGGAGCCTGCAGAGATCGCTTGGCTGAGCTGGCCATCGCTCGGACGTCCATTCCCTGTGCTTCTTTCGGTTTCTTGCGTGGTTTTCGCCAAATGATCAAGGATGCTCCTCGATGATCCTCGGCGAAGGAAAAATACCCACGTCCGAGCGATGCCAAGTGAGAGGCTTGCCCCAGCGTTGGATGGTTTTCTCTGCCGCGAGGCGGGCCAACCGCCGAAGACTGCGCGGCAAGCGAAAACTGTTTGGCTGGCCGGGGTGTCGTTATCCACATCCTCCTCGTCTTCCTCGTCCTCCTCCTCCTCCAAAACCGCTTCCGTATAAAGCTTGCCACCGTTCACCGCAAACAGTGAGCTTGCACACTGTAATAGAGCCAGCCATGTGGCGGGAGCACTGCGGCGCAAGAACCTACGAAGGGAAGCAATATGGTGCGCATAGAAGGTGCGAGCTATGAGGGGGAAGCTACGAGGTGGAAGCAATGTCGTGTAAGCTGTGCGGCACAAGCAGTATAGTGCAACATACGTGGTGTAAGCTGTGTGGTGCAGGCTCTACGGTGCAGACTTTCAGGTGCCAGCTGCGTGGTTTCAACCATGCTGTGCGAGCTATGTGGTGTCACGTATATGGTGCATGCTAGGTGCTGCAAGCTGTGTGCTGCAAGCTGTGCGGCGCAGGCCATGTGGCGCGAGCTGTGTCACGCAAGCGGTGTGCACTGCACGTGGCACGCGCAGGCTCTGCGGCGCAACCACGCGGGGCAGCGACAGCACGGCGACCCGCGGCCACGCGGCGACCGCGAGGCGGCGAGGGGCGGCCACGAAGCGGCCACGAGCCGCTCACGGGGAGGCGACGAGGCGCCCACGGGTGGCCACGAGGCGGACGCGAGGAGTCGGTGCGACGGCGGCGGGCGGCCACGGGCGGCGACTGGGCAGAAGTCCCGAAGCATCGGCCAGCGCACGAGGTGGCGGCGAGGCCGGCGACGAGGCGGCGAAGCGGCGACGCGGCTGCGGCGAGAGGAGTCCCCGGAAACAGCAGCCAGCGCTCGAGGCGGCGGCGAGGCGGCCGCGGACGGCGGAATCGCCAGCCACTTGCTTGAAAAAGAAGACGGGGAGGGGAAGCAACCCAACTGGCACTGACGACGGCGACAACGATGATGCCGCCGACGACGACGACAAGATCTCTCGCCATCGTACAGCTTCGCCTCGCCCGCACGCCTGACACGAACCCAAGCCAACGTCGATGCTCTGAAGGGGGGGGCACTCCTCCTCCTCCTTCCTCCTCCTCCTCCTTTTCCCTCCTCCTCCTCCTCCTTTTCCCTCCTCCTCCTCCTCCTTTTCCCTCCTCCCCCTCCTCCTCCTTTTCCCTCATCCCCCTCCTCCTCCTCCGCCTCCTCATCCCCCTCCTGTTCCAACACTCAGAACACGCTTCACGTACAAATGCAGCTACACTCATATTACTAACCTCTCTCTCTCTCTCTCTTTCTTTATTTCTCTCTCTCTCTCTCTTTTCTCTCTTGTTTGTTTCTCTCTCTCTCTCTCTCTGGCGCGTCTAGACACACAGGATGCTCACCACATCAGTCAGAGAAACAAGTTGCCACAGTGGTCGGTTCCCCCCCTCTCGAAACCAATACCCCCTCTTCCTTCCTAGGTCCCCGATGGCCACCCACAGGAGGCACCATTGTGCAAGCCCAGCATATGCAGATGCAGGCGAAAGCCACCCAGCATGGTACGTTGGGGGCGTGCGATGAGAAATGTGCCCAGGAGGATTCAGACCCTGGAGGATTCTTTATCTCATGCAGTCGGCGGTGATATCCATGGCCGTGACTCAATCGGTGTTCCACCGTCCCTCAGACCCTGCATTCCGTTTCCAAGGGATCCTTACTCAATGCTCCCACCATAAGTGACCAACGAGTACAGCCAAATGCACCAGGATAAGGAAACACAATACACACGCGTACAGGAGGAAGGTCGATGTGCCAGTTGACCCAAGTAAAGCAGCCACATGTAAAACGCCCCATGTTGCAAAACGCCCCCATGTTCGAATAAGGGATCAGTATGTGCTCAAGACCTTCCAGAAAGGAAACACGTGTGCACACGTTCTTAGGCAGCAGATACCACAAGAAGGCACGCGCAATCAAAAGCATGAATCGTCATAGCTGACGTCGTTCGTGTTCTTACGTCTTCCGTCTAGAAGCACACAGGCTAACAAGCAACCTCTGACCTTCCCGTAGTGGCATTGGCAATGGCAATGGAGGGTAGAAGATAGTGGGCAACACGGCTTGCCAAACCCGTGCGGCGTGAGCCTCGAAGGCTATGAACTTGTTCCTTCCTGTCTTAACCAACTTCTCCCTCCCGCTTCCCAAGCGACTATGCGAGGCTTGACCGTCGCCGCGAGCTCTGAGATGGCGCTAGGCCGCAGCAGGTGGGGGCATGGGGACGAGTGGGACGCTGCGCTTGGTCGAGATGCGACGGCGCTGAGCTTCACTGGGGGCTGGGCTGGTGCCGTGATGCGGAGCGCGGAGCTCCGGGAGTGGACGGCCCGAGGGGAAAAACGAAGTGTATGACAGGGCCTCTTGTACCGCGCTGTGTGGTACCGCTCGGTGGTGTACACCTTGGCACGCCATTTCGGCGGCCTCGTGTTCGTAGCAAGACGCCCGCCCCACGTGCGAGCGGCCTGCCCAGGTGGGAGGGCGGAGGAGGGCACGGCGGCGCTGGCAGAGGAGGCGCTGCAACCTGCAGGGCTCGCCGCCCCTGACGCGGACCACCTGGCCTTGGAGGATGAGCTCGCTGGCGCGCGGGCCGAGCACCGGGCTCGGGCTCTGGACAGATATCTGAAGCTCGCGGCGACCTCCCGCGGCGAGGCGGAGAGCTACGTGAGCGGACTCCTCACGCCGCGGGAGCCGCTGCAGCTGGCCCGTTGGGACCCCGTTTCGGGCAGGCGGCTCGGCTCCGCCGAAGCGATCGAGGTGGTGACTGCGTCCATCCTCGGCCGGGGCGCTGCAGCAGGCCCGGGGGTGGCGTCATTAAGCGCGCAGGTCCGCACAGAGATCCGGGCAGCCCAGGCCGCAGCGCTCCGCGAGACGACGGCGGAACTTTGCGATCCGTTGTCCCCAGAGCTGGTGGCGAAGATCGTCCGGCAGGCCCGCTCCTCTCGCAAAACGCTCCACTTGCCGCGCGCTGCGGCAAAAGAAGCGCAGGCGCCAAGCCGCCTGGTGACGTGGGCCGTTCTGAACTTGGCGCTGGTGTCTGGCCCCTGCGGAAATGAGTGGATGCGGGAGGTACCCCCGACCCGCAAGCGGGGGCCCCCGGTCGTCGGCGACACCGCTGTCCTCCGGCCCATCAGCCGCGCGGGAAACCTTGAAGGGTTCCTGGATGCCTGCTGGTTGGAGCCTGTCTTTTTTAGACTCTGGCAAGTTTACTTGCATGGACGGGGGGGGGGGCTGAGCCTGAAGCAAGCCCGGGGGGGGGGGGGGCGCGGAAATCACGCAAGTCGAAAGGCACTTGCACGCTAGTATTCGCTTGAAGAGGGGCGAGGGGGGGGGGAGGGGGGGGGGGGGGGGGGGGCGAACGCCATGCAAGTAAACTTGCCTGAATCCAAAAAGAAACAGGCTCTTGGCCGTAGCCCGCCCGTTGCTGGAGCAGTTCGCCGGCTCCGAGCAGGCAGGGGTGTGCTATGATGCGACGCTCGTGGCGGCCAGGCTGCTCATCGCGCTCCGGGTGCGGCGCGGGCTGGGGCTCCGCACGGTGGTTCAGAAAGCGGACCTGTTGCACGGGTTCGATGTGGCCTGGCGCGACGGCGTGCTGCTTCAGCTTCGCTGGGCCAGACTGCGCGGGCGATGGTGGCTTGCGGCGGCGGCCTCCCTCAGCGAGGAGCGCGTGTGAGTGCGCGTGGGCCCCCTTGTGGGTCAGATCGCCACGTGCCTTGACTTCGGGGTGGGGCAAGGCCAGCGCGCTGGCGCCCACGTGTTTAGTGCATTTGGAAATGGGACCGCAAACCGCAGCGGCAATAGTTCGCTGCGTGGAACTATTGCGCGCAACAGCTGCGCGCAACTATTGCGAACTATTGCGCCAGCGTGCGCAACTATTGCGTCATACGTACATGCCCAGACGCAACTATTGCATCGTGACGGGCCAACTTTTGCACACGATTGCTCGCAAAAAAAGCGAGAGCACAAACTATTGCATCCCAGAGAAGAACTACTGCGTTCACGCGAGCAAACTGTTGCACCCCGACTACTGCACAAGGCACAGTACGATGTATGTGATGGTTTCCACCGATTGCGTGAACTATTGCGCGCACGCTTCGCGGCCCCATTTCCAAAGACCCCATTCGCCCGATTAAGGCGCTGGTCCGCGCTCTCACTGACTCCTGCACGGCCGCCGCCCAGCCGCTCCCGCTCGCGGAGTGCGCCCCGGCGAGCGCCCCTCCCCCCTCCCTGCCGCTGATGCAACTCGACGACACATTCGTTTTTGCAGCCAGACGAGACCGGCTTGATGCGGGCCAACGCTGGCTTGGGCGCGTTTTGCACCGCCTATCGCCACCGCTACCAGGACGGCAGCAAGGGCCACGCTGCAATGGCGGTGGGCCTGCTGGCCGTGGATCCAGAGCTGCTTGCGAGCCATGCGCGTGGCTGGGCCGCGGTCGCGTCCCAGCTAAATCGCGCATGCTACGACGCGGAGAAGGCGTTCCTGGGGCTCCCACCGGGCATGTCCTTTGGCGATGGGGGCTACCTCCGCGTGTTCCTGGAGACGCGGTTGCTGACGCGCGTGGCCGCCAAAGTCGCCCAGCGCATCAATCTGGCATGGGCTCGGTTGCTGGCGTTCCCGGAAGGCTCGCCCGTCGCGCCCGCAGCCCAAGCGGCGCTGGCCCGCGGCAGGGGCACTTGGCTCCAGGACGCGGCCCGGAGCTTCGGGGTGGGGCCGCCGCCCGATGAGCTGAAAACCGCGGCGGCGGAGGGGCCCGCGGCCCGCCGCAGGGAGGTGCGGCGTTGGGCACGATCCTGCGTTATCCCGCAGGTGCGAGAAGCGGAGCGGGCTTGGTTTTGCGAGCAGCTGGCAAAGCCCAACGACGAGGGGTTGCTGCGGGTCGCGGCTGTTCTCCCCCTGCGGCAGGCCTGGCCGGAGGAGCTCCGTCGGGCCTCCTAGGGCCGGACCCAGTGGAGGTTCCAACGCGCCTGGTGCGTGGCGCGCGTCACGTCCGAGCTGCCAACTGCCATCTGGGGCGTGGGGGCGGCCCACCTGCCGACCACCTGCGCCTTTTGCGGGCGCGAGCAGGCTGGGCTGCACCACCTGCTGGTCCGCTGTTCGGGACCTGATGCGCTCCGCGCAGCCCTGCTGGCGGAATGGGGGGTGCTCACCGACACAGACAACCTCGGGGAGCTCGCGGCGAAGGTCCGCTACCTGGAGCTCTCCTGCGCGGCGCTGGTGCATGCAGCGCGCAGGTAAAAATGCCGCCCTCCTCCCGCCCTGCCGCCGCTGCTGCCGTCCCCCTCCTCCCCTTCTTGGTGCCCGTCCTCCCGGTGCCTCGCTCGCCGCCCCTCTCCCCTCCCCCCCCTCCTCCCCCCTCCTCCACGCCCTCCCTTGCACCCGCGCTGACCGAGCCTGCAATGCCCGCCCGACCGCCCAGCGCCCTGTTCCACCTGCGGTGGGGTCGGCCCCTGGGCGGTGGGGGGGCGGCGAGGTTCGTTCAGCGTTAGGGCCGGCCCCGAAGGGAACGCGACGCTCGCCGCGCCTGCCCGGCCCGTCCCGGCCCCCCTGGGGTGACTGGGGGGCCTGGAGGCCCGGACTTGCAACAGGCGCATCCTGATGGGCCCAAGCCCGCTGCCCCCGCCGCGCTGGTCCACAGGCCCTCAGGGGTGGCGGCGCTCGCGGCGGGGCGGTCAAAGCCCCGAGGGGCCTTCCTGCACTTTGACAGTCCATTTGACATTCCTGCTCCCGCATGATGTTCCGTCTCCTCCCCTTCCTCCCTTCCGTCCCCCTGGAACCCGCTGAGAGACCCCCTGAAATCTCCTCCTCCCTCCTCCTCGTCCTCCTCCTCGTCCTCCTCCTCCTCCTCCTCCTCCTCCTCCTCCTCCTCCTCCTCCTCCTCCACTCCTTTCCTTAGAAATAACTTCTCTTGTCGCACCCCGAAGCCAGTTTTTAGGGCGGGCCAGGCGTTTCGCCGTGATACTTCCTTTCCATTTATGACTCTGAAGTTTAACACGTTGGCAACAGTTTCACAGAAGCAGGGCGGGTGGTTTTCAAAATGTGACTCTCGCCTTAGCGCGGCGCACATTATTTTCAAACATTTGCATCGAGCTTCACGCATTGAGGGCGGGTGGTTTTCAACATGTGGCTCTCGCCTTAGCGCGGCGCGCATTCGCTTCAAACGCTTTCAAGAGATTCGCAGATTGAGGGCGGGTGGTTTTCAAGATGTAGCTCTCGCCTGAGCGCGGCGAACCTTCGTTTCAAACATTTGCGAGGGCTTCACGGATTGAGGGCGGATGGTTTTCAAAATGTAGCTCTCGCCTGAGCGCGGCGAACATTCATTTCAAAACATTGCAAGAGCTTCACGGATTAAGAGTGGTTCCTTTTCAAAATGTGGCTCCCGCCTTTGCACCGCGCACATTCGTTGCAAAAAATTACAGGACTTTCACGGATTGAGGGCGGGTCGTTTTCAAAATGTGGCTCTCGCCTGAACGCCGCGTACGTTCGTTAAACATTTCCAAGAGTTTCACTTGTTCCCATCATCAACGTACCAAAATTGGTGTTTTGGAAGGATTCAGGATTATGCGGGTGCAACAGTTACGTGGATTCTCTGCTGAAATCCTACGACTGGCTTCTGCCACGATTCATGATCGTCAAGACGCAACAGTCAGGCTGATCCGTGGCGTTGGAATCAAGGGAGCAATGTTTTGGCATGCTTCAGGGTCTTCAAACAGGCGTCTTCCAACGAGGCAATTCAATCAATGGACATGAACCGTTGTAGGGGCCTATGAAGAGGGAGCTTGGAGGGAGGGTTTACTCCAACATCGTTGATGACTCTTGGGTTTACTCTGGTCCTCCTACTCCTCCTCATCATCCTCCTCCTCATCATCCTTCTCCTTTCCCCTTGTTCCTCCTCATTACGTTCCACCTTCTCCTCCTTCCACCTGCAGGTCTGGTAGAGAGACCAGACGGGCATCCGCTCGCCAAACCCGCGAGAAGTGGGGGCATGCCCGCGCGCCTGGTCGTGCGACCGCAAGTTTTTTGCCAGCAAGTAGCGCTGGAACCTCGGCCGGGTGGCTCGCCAGGGGGCCCCCTGGACGCCCGGGAGGGGAGGGGAGGGTGCCAGGCGGGATCCTCGACGCCCGCCGGGCGGTCTTCGAGAACGGCTGGCTGTCCAACCTCAAAAAACCTGCGATGTTGCATCCCCGAATACAGCACGATAGACAACTGCGATGGGACACCACCGGGAAACCCTGGGGACAAATAAATGCCACCATCGGGACACCATGGAAACACCATCGGAATGCCATCGGAACACCATCGGGAAACCATTCTGGTCCATCCGTCCACTAGTGGGTGCCCCGTGCGCTGGATGGGCATGGCCGGCCTCACTATAGGACTCACTATCGCTCTCATCCGCGACCTCACTATCGATCTCATTATCCGCTTATCGATCAAGCTATCAATGCCACTATTCATATCAGACTGTCTCCGCTATCGATATCACTATCTGTTTGTCGATCTCACCATCGGTATCCCTATCAATCTACTGGTCTCACGATCGACCGTACTATCTCACTATGGGTCTCCGTATCTATTTTCCGATCCCACTATTGATCTCAACATCGATCACTCTATGATTCGACCAGTCTCACTATCAATCGGTCTCACGATCCATCTCACAACCGATCCCACAATGTATCCGTCGATCTGACGATCGATCGGTGTCAAAATTAATCGATCCCACTGGATATTTATATATACGACGCCCCTGCGGGTGATAAGGAGGTAGGGGGGAGGGGGCCAGCTATCGATCTCTCACTATAGATCTCACGATCGATCTCTTACTATATATTTCACTATCGATCTCACTATCGGTCTCATTATCGATCTCACTATCGATCTCACTATCGATCTCACTGTCGATCTCACCACGGGGCACCACGGGACAACGACGGGACACCGGCGGGACACCGGACACCAGCGGGACACCGGCGGGACACCGCGCGCCACCGGTTGCCGGGCGGAGAACCTTTTGGTCCGGCCGCGGCCCAGCCACGACGGGACACCGGCGGGACACCAGCAGGACACCAGCGGGACACCGGCGGGACACCGCGCGCCACCGGTTGCCGGGCGGAGAACCTTTTGGTCCAGCCGCGGCCCGCTACAGGAGAATTTCCTCCCCCGCCCACGCAGCTTCGCCTCGCCCGCACGCACGGCACGAACACGAAACCGAAATCGATTTCCCGGTAGGGGGGCTCCCCGGTCCACTTCGATCTCACCCCCAACCTCCGATATATACACCGGTGTATATATCTTTTGATCTCTCGGGACAACCATCGGAACAATCATTTGGGCACCATCGGGACACCAATCGGATCACCAATCCAGACACTCGGGACATCATCGAGACACAATCGGGACATCATCGGGACACCATTGGGACACAATTGCGACACCATCAGGACACCAATCGGGACACCATCGGAGCATCATCGGGACACCATCGGGACACCACTGGGACACCATCGGGTCACCATCGGGACACCATCTAGAAACCATCGGGATACCATCAGGACACCGTCTGGACACCATCGGGACGCCATTGGGACACGATCCTGAAACCGTCGGGACGACATCGGGACACCATTCAAACAACATTGGGACATCATCGGAACACCATCGGAATACCAATCGGAACGCCGTCGGGACACCATCGGATCACCAATCGGGACACCATCGGGCCACCATCGGGACGACATCGGGACACCACTAACACACCATCACAAAAAACACCAGGACACCATCAAGACACCATCGGGACACCATCGGGGAACCATCGGGACACCCCTGGACCACCGGCGGCCAACTGGGGGCAGAGCAACATTTGATCCGCTTTCGCCGTAGCCAGGGGAGTGTTCAATCCTCTCGCCCGCCCCCACAGCTTCGCCTCGCCCGCACGCATGACACGAACACGAAACCGAAACCGATTTCGCCCTGGGAAGTCTCCGTTTCATTTCGATCTCACCCCACAGGCTCCGATCTATATATCGATCTCACGGGACAGCCATCGGGAAACTATCGGGGCACCATCGGGACACCAGTCGGAACACCAATGGGGACACCATCGGGACACCATCGGGACAGCATCGGAACACCAGCGGGACACACAATTGAGACACCATCTGATACCATCAGGACGCCAATCGGGACACCATCGGGACACAATCGGGAAACCAATCGAGACACCAATCGGGACACCAGCAGGATGACATCGGGACACCATCAGGACACAATTGGGACACAACACAATCGGGTCACTATCGGAACTTCATCGAAAAATGATCGGGACACCATCGAGACACCATCGGGGCACAATCTCCACACCATCGGGACACCACCATCGGGACACATCCACAGTAGCGGAACACCACCAAGACACCATCGGAACACCATCCGAACACTGCGGGAGACCACGGCACACCACAGGGCACCATGGGACACCATCGGGACGGACTTTTGGCCTGGCGACGCCGGAGCCAGACGAAGTTCTTTCCTCTCGCCTGCCCGCGCAGCTTCGCCTCGCCCGCACGCACGAGACGAACACGAAACCGAAACCGATGTCCCGGTCGGGGGCTCTCATATCCACTGCGACCTCAACCCCCCAGCCTCCGACTTGCGTACACCCACCAATCCATCACCTACCTACCTACCTACCTACCTACCTACCTACCTACCTGCCTGCCCACCTGCCTACCTACCGACCTGCCTACCTATCTACCTACTGGCACACACATATAACACGTCTAGTACGTTGGCGAGTGAACAATCGACTCAACACCGACGGGCGTTTCCCGCCTGGCACAGGCTCCAGCCCTCACGGACCGCTTCGGCCCGAGAAGCCCCGCGCGAGGGAGAGGCCAGAGCGCTCGGGCCACGACCTGCCCGAGGCGTGGGCTCTCCCTCCGGGCGCCTGGGATGGGGGGTGCGATAGGGGAGGAGAACGAGAGATGGGGGTGGAGGCCTCCCAAGTGGAGTCATATTTTCTCCAATTTGCTGGTGCATCGCCGAGGTCGCCGCTTATGGAGGGGTGCGATGGGGAGGAGAACGAGAGATGGGAGTGGAGGCCTCCCAAGTGGGGTCCGAGCAGATAGGGTCGCAGGATCGCGCCGCATCGCCGATGCATCGGCGATGCATCGGTGCATCGGCGATGAATCGGCGACGTCGGCGATGCATCAGCACCTTGAAGAAAGTCGGACTCCACATCGAGCCGCATCGCCGATGCATCGGCGATGCGGCGAGATCCTCCGACCCCATCCCTCGGGTCCCACGTGTGAGACCTGGAGGATGAGAAGCTGGAACTCGCGAGCAGGCCAGGACAAGAGGAGAGGGCAGGCAACGAGAAATGCAATGAATAGGAGCACTGGGGGAAGGGAAGGCAAGGGGACAGGGGGGGAGACAGGACAAACCTCGAAGAGAGAAAGAGAGAGAGAAGAGAGAGAGAGAGACAGAGACAGAGTCAGGGAGATATAGAAAGAGAGAGAGAGAGAGGCAGAGACAGAGACAGAGACATAACGAAAGAGAGAGAGAGATAGAGAGAAATATAGAGAGAGGGGGGGGCAAGCGTAGGGCGGCAACAGCCTCGAGGCTGAGCCTCAGCCTCTGGGGGGGTTGCCGGGGTGGCTCTGCCGGGGAAGGGGGGGTGGGGGGGGGGGGGGGCGAGTTTCCGGCGGATGCGTTTTTTGACACCCCTCACAAGGATCGTGGCCTCCGAGGGGGTTCCGAACTCGAGTACCACCCCTCCCGCACCAAGAGGCTCCGAGGAGGCCTCCAAGAGGCCCCAAGGGGCGCAGAAGAGGCCCCCAAGAAGCCCCAAGAGGCTCCCAAGAGACCCCCAAGAGGCCCTCTAGTGGCCCCAAGAGGCCCAAGAGGCCCCCAAGAAGCCCCAAGAGGCGCCCAAGAGGCCCCCAGAAGTCCCAGCCAACCACGAGATCCCAACCAGCATCCATGAGGCCTCTGACCCACCACCCACGCACGGTGGCGGGATAGGCCGACGGCCACTGGATCCGCCGCCCCCTGCTTGCAGGGGTGCACGGCGTGCTGGACGTTTCAGGTTTTGGTTTTGGTTCTTTTTCTAAAAGAACTCCCCAGTGGGCTTCGGCCCGTCCCGCCGGCCACCCGTAATTTTCCCAAAATCCGTCTGTCAATGCCTTTGTTGCCCCAACTTGGCCCAAGATGGCCTCCAAGACGGCCAAGATGGCCCAAGATGGCCTCCAAGATGCCTCCCAGACGGCCAAGATGGCCTCCAAGACGGGTAAGATGGCTCCAAGATGCCTCCAAGACGGCCCAAGATGCCCTCCAAGACGGCCAAGATGGCCCCAAGATGCCTCCAAGATGGCCCAAGAGGCCTCCAAGACGTTCTCCAGGAGAGCCCGAAGAGGCCAAAATCATTGGTTTTCCTTAGGTTTTTGAAGGTTTTTTGCGTTTTCTTCTTTTCGGCCTTCCGACGGCCCAAGAGGCCCCCAAGATCGCCCAAGAGGCCTCCAAGAAGGCCCTATGACGGCCCAAGGGCCCCCCAAGACGGCCCCAAGAGCGCCCCAAGACGGCCCAAGAGGCCTCCAAGACGCCCAACATGGCCTCCAAGACGGCCCTGAAGCGCCCCAAGAGGGCCCCAAGACGGCCCAGAGAGGCCCCCAAGACGGCTCCAGACGGCGTCAGACGGACCAGGAACGCCCTAAGACGGCCAAAGAGACCCCCAGGAAGCCCCCAAAGGCCCCCAAGAGGCCCAAGGAGGCCCCCAAGATGCCTCCAAGAGGCCTCGAAGAGGCCCCCAAGAAGCCCCCAACAGACCCCAAGGGTGCCCCAAGAGACTCCTAACAACCCTCATCCTCCTACTCTATTTCTTCCTCTTCCTCTTCCTGTTCATAATCATTCTCTCCCATGTGTTCCCCGAAAGCTTTCCAAACCGACTCGGGGAACTCATGGTCCGATAGCTTGGCCAAGCTCTAGTCCAACTTTCGGCCACATCGGCGTTTCCAAAAAGGCAGGGGGCGGCGGTGATTCG